CTTGCCTTGAATACAGGCGGCACAAAGGTAGTCAGACAGAGGAGGCGGTGCGACAACAAGCGACGACGGAGGAGGCGAGGGGAGGAGGGGAGGACGAGAAGCATGGGAATGAAGCAACATCGGGTGAGAGTGCTGGACAGGAGAGAAATGACGAGCACGAGAGGGACGACGAGACCAAAAGTTAGACGGAAGCGTCGAGACAAGAGACATAGGAGGAGACACAGGAGGAGAAAGAGTGGGAAAACGAGCCAGAGACAAGTCAGCCGGCGGAAACACAGGGCTATAGACAGGCAGGGGAGGCAGCGGCGGGGGAGGCGAAGGCGGGTGGTCAGGGGAGGGAAGGCCGAGCAAGCGAAGGGCAGACACCGGCGGCGACTGCTGCTGCTGCTGCTGCTTCACGCTGACCCAGAACCTCAAGCTGCACCACAGCTACCTCCTGAACGCTCCACTCTAGCACCTCCAGAACGAGAACCCTCTCCATCATCGGTGCCACCCCCGAGACCGCCGGGACAAGCCACGACAGTAACCCCAATACTAGCACCCCCAGAACTAGCACCCGCAAAACGAGAACCATGTCCAGCAGCGGTGCCACCCCCAGGACCGCAGAGACAAACCACGACATGAACCCCATAGCTAGCACCCTCCTCGACGCCCGCACCCAAAGAGCCCACGGACGGCTGCTGCTGCAGCGGCGGCAGCGACGGCTACGCCTGCGGCTGCTACAATGGCGGCGACGGCGGCGGCTGCTGCGATAACAGAGGAGGAAAAATCATGGTTGAAACAGGCGGCAAGAACTGCACCACAGGGCCACCAGAGTTAGCCGACTCCTCAACCCGGACAACCGACGGGAGGGGAGTGACGTGAGACACACCAGACGGAGCAGGACGGAGTGGGAGGAGAGCAGGGGCTACCTGGGGAGTGGGAACCTGAAACAGGAGTGGGGAAACCGGGAGACCTCGGTGAGGAAACCGGTGGTAGAAGGAGACATACTCGTTGAAAGTGACGTCACGCGAGTGAAGGAAGCGCTGAGACAGCGGGTGGCAAAAGTGCTAGTCAAACGAGTCGAGGGGGAAACCAAGGAAGACACAGGGGACGGTGCGGGCAGTGAGCTTGACTGTGCCAGAGGCACGAACGTGAGTAAGGCAGCCCCACACGTGGAACGCGGACGCATCACCAAGTAACCCGGTCCAGAGAAGGGTCGGCGAAAACTGCGGCCGCTGGGAGTGCAGGCACATGTTGAGCTGGTGAGTGGCGTAGCGAACAGCGGATGACCACAGAAAATGGTATGCACCGGCATAGATCATGGAGGTACGAGCCACCTCCATGTCCAAACCGATGCATTGCTGAGCGACCCCATTCTGTTGTAGGGAGTTTGGTAGGGTGTACGATTGGGTGATGCCCTCCGCATGGCAAAACTGTCCAAGCCGACCAGAGGCAAACTCGCCGCCACGGTCAGAATGGAGACACAGCACGGGGAGACCGCAGTGGATGCGCGCAGCTACGATCCACAAGATAAGAATGTCGGGCACGTCGGCCTTCCGCTCCGGGGGAAAAACCATGGTGTAGCGCATGTAGTCGTCCACAAGCAGTAGAAACTAGTGCTCTTGACGTGGCCCTGGGATGGGGGCTTGGCCCCAGACGTCTAGGTGCAGGGTCTGGAGTGGCGCAGTGGTAGGGCGAAGTGAGGAGGAGTGTGGAGCGTGGCGCAGCCGTCCCTTGATGCAGGGCGTGCACGGCGGCACAGGCGAGGAAGGGAGGGCAAGGAGCAACGCAGGAAGTCATAGGACAAGACCGTGCTGGGACATGTGACGCAGACGCGGTAGTGCGGGGTGACCTAGACGGTGGTGCCACTGAAGCTACGGGTGAGTAAGCGACTGAGAGAAGCAAGCCGCAGCGACCTGGGTAGACGCAGGCACCTGGGGGGACGCCCTCACCAGGGGGAACTCGTTGTCGAGCGTAAATAGGCCAGACACCGGGTCCCAGGGAAACGTGGTGAAGGGGGAACGTGTGGCGGCCTCGGTATAGACCGCGTACCGCTCGTGGCCAGGGAACATAGTGGTGACGCCGAGGTCCTGAAGACAGTCGACACCAACTTGGTTCTTGAAAAAACGAGGGCATGTGCAAGCTTGTAAGGGAGTCCGAGGGAACCACCGGACAGGGAAGGGTAGTGGAGCTACGGGCAACTACCAGACCTGATGAGGGGTTAGCGAGCACGACAGCGGCAAGGGCGGCGAGCGGTGTGAGCGCAGTGTGGTCGCGAAAGAAGCAGGCAAGCACACCAGTTTCAAGTGTGAACGACAGTGAAGTGGTAGCGGCAGCCGGCGGAGGGGCTAGTTTGGAGTATAATTTAAACAAGGCAAAAGGTCCTACGCTTGACGCAATAGGGGAGCCGAGACTACACATAGGAGGCACACCTACATTAGGCAACACAGAGTGATAAGGTACGATCACACTGGAGTCATCAGCATACATGGCATACAACGTAAAGCAAATCTAATGCATGTCCATCTCAAAGACAGGCACACAGCGACGCACTAGATTTGGCCAATCGGGAAGGTCCGGCGCAAGGCCGAAGTGGAGACGGAAGAGATCGTCGCGGTGGCGGAAGCAGCGGGCGGCAGAGTGACTGGTACGACCACACACAGTGACGCGGAAGGGGACGGCCTGGAGCTGGTACTCGCAACCCACCGCGCTAAAGCTGCCACCCGATGCCGAGCTGCGAGGGCCGCCACCGCGGCCTCCACCACCAGAGGCACCGGGCCACCCCGGCGGGAGGCGGCTCCACTGCTGCTGTTGCGGCTGCTTCTGCTGCCAAGGCTGCTGCTGCTACTGCTGCTCCACGGCACCAGGCCCAGTCCCCTCGTCGGAACCACCGTCACCCCCCCCACCCCCACCACCCTTTCCTCCGCCACGCCCCGTCTTGGGGCAGCGGCTCCTACCCTGACGTAGCTGCGCTGAGGCTGCAGCAGTAGTCTCAGCAGCAGGGGCTGTCTTAGCGAGTAAGAGTAGGTGCACTGGGAGGGAGCACAGCCTTGAAAGATAGGGACCGTCGTAGTACCGCTAGACTGAACGATAGTGCACTGGCGGGTCTCTGTCTCAGACAGGGCGGCGACGAAGGCGGTAAGGGTGAGGTCACCTGGGTGCTGACTAAAGAAGTGGTCGCGGGCAGTGGCTAGGCGGTCTGGAAGGCGCGTGGCAATGAGGTAGAGGGTAGCGAAAAGCGGCAGCGGATAGGCAGTGAGCTGAGCCTCAGTGCTAGCGGCGCGGTAGCTAGTCTCAAGTGTGCGGAGGTAAGTGGCAAGATCGGCGACGGTGGGGAAGGACGCAAGATCAGGGAACAGCATTGGGAGGATCAGGCGGCCAGTAGAGGCTGAGGCGGGGGTGGAATAGCGAGCGATGACTGCATCTAAGAACTCCTGGGCATTCGTTACAGTGCTAGCGGGACGCTCAGACAGGGGAAGCGGTGGCTGATAGCAAGCTGTGCGACGGAGTCGCGCGAGTCCTAGATAACACGCGCAAGCGCAGCAGCAGAAAAGGCCTCACACTCAGCAGTGGTGGGAGCAGCAGGGAGGGCAACAGGCGCAGCGGGGCGGGGAAGCAGGCCATCGACATGAACAGCCAGGGAGTGACCGTCCTGGCGCTGACTTGTATGGTGACGGCGAAGGTCGATGAGCCACGCCTCGAAGTCGATCGCCCGACCCTCCGCGTCCAGGCGGAGCAGTGAGTCCGCCATCACCAGAGCTGCAGCAGTTGACTGCCGCAAACAGGGAGAGGAGGAAAAGTGGAGGACATGACGGCGGAGAGCGGTGGAGTGAGGTGGAGTGCGGTGGAGAGTGATGGAGTGTGGTGGAGGGAGGTGGAGTACGGTGAAGGGCAGTGGAGACAGCCGGGAGGAGTTCTGGCACAGAGAGGAGCCAAGGCCGGTAGGTCAGGGGTGGCAGAGCGACATGGCGACACTGCGGCGCTTGTACGTCGTGGGCTGGTGCGGGCTGTGGTCGGCGGAGCAGGTGCCGGTGGAGCCGGGGGCCGGCTGGCTAGGGGCCGGCTAGCTGGGGGCCGGCGAGCTGGGGCTTGGCGAGCACGGGGCCATCGAGCGCGGGGCCGGCAAACGCGGGGCCAGCGGGCGCGGGGCTGGCGACCTCAGGGCTGGCTAGCGCGGGGCCAGCGAGAACGGGGCCTGCGGGCGTGAGGATGGCGAGGCGTACGGGGCGAGCGTGGTGCACGGGATTAGTGGGGCTCGACGGGGCTAGCGGGGCTCGACGGGGCTAGAGGGGCACGGATGGGGCCAGCGGGGGGCGGACGGGGCCAGTGGGGCGAACGGGGCCAGCGGGGCATACGGAGCCAGCGGGGCGTACGGGGGCCAGCAGGGTGCACGGGGCCAGCGGGGCTCTAAGGGGCCAGCTGGGCGTACGGGGCTAGCAAGGCGCTAAGGGGCCAGCGGGGCGCTAAGGGGCCAGTGGAGCGCTAGGGGCTAGGACGGAAGCGGGTGGGCGGACCTAACCTAATATGATACCATCTTAGAGTAGAACGAATTGACTAGAATGAGGTGGTACAAAGGGATATAACACAAGGGGTTGTAGTCTATATAAGCATGCACCTAGCTAGCCTATTACATATACCGTAATCCCCCGGATGTAGGCGCATATGTGCTTTTAGGGATTAGATTCAAAAAGCAGCATGTGCTTGTAATCGAATAAAAAATATAAGCCCATGCGCTAATACGAAGGACTATATGGAAAATGATTTTGAACACACCAAAATGTAGCTGGGTTAATTTGGGTTCCAATATAACTGTCTTCAAAAGGGGACGCGCATAAATATCGTGCAGAATATCTGGCGAAAGTCTCGCCAACACAACTATGCTGGGAAGGCAGGGTATGGACCAATCATAGGCAAGACAGTGATCGCGAAACGCTGGAATCTGGCTGGCGACGTGCTTGGGGGGGGGGTGTGAGAGTGCTGCGGGAGATTTGACACAGAGTTTCGATATGGAAGTTTAGCAATTCACCCGTTTTTTAATATTCATTCAATGCGCTTTTAGGGAATAGATTTTCTAAAAATAAGGGTGCTCTTATAATGAAATAACGGATATAAGCGCGTTTGCACTCTATAAGCCCACTGGGCTGCGCCTATATCCGGGTGATCACGGTACAAATGATATGTTGACAGCGTGCACTTGAGTATCATCACAGAGCCATACATGCTTTGAAGCCTTGTTCAATCGCTGATGTGTTGAGGCGCTTTCCTGAAAGCAGTGGGATGGCAGAAATGGTTCACAACGCAATGGTCCAACGGATAGTGCGAGTGAAGCTATTGAGCGAAGAAATCCTCGCACATCCAAAAGCGCCTACAGATTCGACGTTGGATATTACAAACTACATACACCTTCCAAACTCCAAAAACACTGTTATTTTTATCCACAGAAGAATCAAGCAATCGTACATGCGCGCACACGTACCAACAACAAGGACTCTGTTGAGGCGCTCCTCCCCCTGGGGCCACGGCAGGGCTGCCAGCACCTCATACAGCTCGCGCACCGCCTGGCACCGCATGGGATCATGGGACACAGACGAGGCGAGATAAGTGCCAAGGGGGGGAGAGAACGAGAGCGTTGCATGCAGGAGGTGGGAGGGACGAGGCACTAGGCTATGCTCAGTGTGTGCAACCACCACACGGCAGTCCACCTCGTAGACCAGTTAAATTCATGCATACACTCCCACTTCCTTGCTCCCCACCTCTTCGCCTCTCACATTCTTGCTTGCGCTGTGACCAATCCAGCAATACTGCGCGTCACTGCAAGAGAGGTGCCCATGGCAGTGCAGCTGATGCCGTCCTCACGCTGCTTCCTCTCCGACTCTCCAGGAATGGATGAGAGTGCGAGGCCGTGCAGCGGAACCAGCCACAGCTCAAGAGGTCAAGCAGCTACAGGAAGCAGACACTGCACTGCACTGGCAACCCGCACCGACACCTCAGCACAGCAGCACTCCACGCACCTAAGGTGTAGGTGGGTAGGCATGTATGTACCTGGAAAACGTGCACTCGGTTGCTGCCCTGGACTTCCATAGCGCCCTTCATGCGGTAGATGTCGCCGTACTGGGACGCCCCTTCCCACAGCACCGCGCCCAACCACTCATCCACCTGCCGTGGCGCAGCGGTCAAGGAGAGGGAGGGCGAGACGAACCAGGGGGGTGGACATGGTGGCGAAGCCGGGGGTCAAGCCGGGACAGCATACTTGCTTTGCGGTTTCTGGATCCTGAACTGCAGCTGCGGCGTTCCGATGCGAACAGCTCGAAAAGGATTGTAAGGTGGACATGAAGTTCACTTAAGAAAGCCGAAGTAGAGTAACTGTATCCAGTCGACTTACAACACTTCTGGGAGTTGCACACCCAGTACCCACATGCACCACAGAGTCAGGGAGTGGATTGGGGTTAACATGCCTTTTGAAGATGGACGGAGCCAGAGCAGGTGAAGGAGAAGGTGGAGATGGAGGCGTGCGTGCGAGGTGGGGATGCCGCCGTGTGCTCGTGACTGTGGCGCTGCTCTGTTGTTGTCATTGGTATGTGTTGTTTCATCGCTTGGAGAATGTCATGGCCTCGCTGCATGTCAAGCACGTGCCACACAGCAGCAACATACAGACAGCGGTTTGCAGGAGAAAGGGAGAGAGAGGGGGTGGAAGAGTGAACGGGGAGAGGGTTAGAACGACGCGTGCGTGGGGAGAGAGACGGCAAGGTGGGAGGTCGAAGATAGCTCGTGAAACGTGGACAGAACAAAAGCAACAGCGTACATGCTGTGTTGTGTATTGCTCTTACGCAGGCTGCAAAAAGGCAAGTGCCCTGGTTCTCGACATAAGGAAGGGCATGTGTGTTTCCATGCTGCAAGACACAACACTGCCTGCTGCTGCTGCATAGCATCCCCATGGCCACATGAGCGGTGAGCACACGCAGGCACGCAGACAGGAAGACCCAACCCAGCCCGGCTCAGCCCAGCCCAACCAGAGGTGCTGGTGTGCCAACCTGAGCGCTGTAGAGGCCGCGGTTGAGCAGCATGCGCACGTCCACCTGGGAGCGCACAGCCGTCACCACCTCCGCCCCTGCGTTGATGCCCCGCACCGCCTCCACCACCGCCCTCACTGCCGCCTCCCTTCTCTCCTCCCCCTCCCTGCCACCTCCCTGCTCGCTGCGGGCTTCTTTCTGAGTTGCCTCGATGTGTGTGCGCTGTGACTCGTGCGGGGATGGGGCGAGCAGGTCGAGCTTGTTCACTATCACCACGTCCTGCCATGCCACACGCAAGGATGGCCGGGGGGGGAGAGGGGGAAGGAAATGCGGCATGGAGAAAGGGGGAGGATGCAAAGGCCGATGAAAGGGTGACGGTGTGCTGAGAATGAGCAGTGAGTGCATGGAGACAGGGATGCGCCCTTGACGTGCCCTTGACGAAAGGGTGACGGTGCGCCTTGTTGATTGAAGGTAAAACGGTCTGGCATGGAGAAATAAAGCGAACGGAGGTGGGTGCACAGGAAAAGTGCGGTGAAAAAGGAGTGGGTGCTATTCACAGCACAACCCCCACTCACAGCACACCCACCCACTCACACCACACCCACCCACTCACACCTAGACATGGGCAGCATGCCGAGCCTGGCTCGACTCGGCTCGACTCGAACTCGAGCCAGGCAAAAGTCGAGCCGAGCCGACTCGGCTCGACCCGAGCCGGCTGCCCCAAAATGGTTGGCTCGACTCGGGGGTTCAGGGTCGAGCCAAGGGTCGGCTCGACTTTGGCTCGGCTCGGCTTGACTCGCCAAAAGGGTTTCTTCTGCAGGTTTTGAAAATGTCTTGCTAGATCGCTGTAAAGGTTTTGCAGGTAAAGGTCCCTAAACCCTTAGATCCTTCCTACAACACCAAAAGGTAGTCGAAAAAAATCTAAAGTAGCAGTGTTGGTGGAGAGAGGGCAAGCTAGGGTGGCGAAATAGCTCAGATGTACACTTAGGCTCGATGGCGAAAACCTAGAATGGATTGTCGACTTCCAGGGGGGTCGAAATTTGACCCCCCACGGGCGAGCCGCGCGCTTCGGGAGTCGAGCCAAAGTCGAGCCAAAAGTCGAGCCAAAAGTCGAGCCAAAAGTCGAGCCAAAAGTCGAGCCAAAAGTCGAGCCGACTCGACTTTGGCTCGCCCTGAAATTTGAGACGAGTCGAGCCGAGCCGTGCAGCTCGACCGGCTCGACCCAGCTCGACTCGGGGCGAGCCGGCGAAAAAAAATACCCAGCTTGACTCGCCAAAAAGGCGAGTCGAGCCGGGTCGAACCGAGCTTGGCTCGGCATGCTGCCCATGTCTACTCACACCACACCCACCCACTCACACCACACCCACTCACAGCGTACGCCACTTGCTGCAGCAGCAAATCCTCCAACCCCTTCTCCTCTGCCCCATGTGTAACTGCCTGCACTCCACCCTGCCCCCCATCTTCCTCCTGCTCCCCTCCCCTTCTCTCCCCTCCTCTTCCCTCCCCTTCTCTTCCCTCCCCTTCTCTTCCCTCCCCTTCTCCTCCCTCCCCTCCCCTTCCCTCCCCCTCGCACCCTTGTCGAGCCGTGCTAGCGGGCCGCGCGTGTGGCACTGGCAGCGTGTTGGAGTGTGCGTGGCCCGAGGCACACATGCACCGCTGGAAGTTGCGCGCGTCCACTAGCTGGAAGGGGATGCAGGGGGGTGAAGGATAGGCGCAGGGGCAAGCAGGGGGGCGTAGGGGGGCACAGGGGGTCGCAGGGTGGCACAGGGGGTCGCAGGGGGGCACAGGGGCAAGCAGGGGGTCGGATAGGGAGAAAGGGATCCGAGAGAGAGGGAAGGGTGAGATGGCAGGGAGTGGATGGGATGACACACAGCACTGGTGCATGAGCTGAGTGGGTTGGACCCGTTGCACGTGATGCTGGGGATGGGCAGAGTGGGTGCGATTGAGCACAGTGCAAGTGTGACAGAGGGCAGTTCGGATGGGGGCAGACGACGGTGCGGCGTGATAACGATAGAGCAGATGGACCTTCAGCCACGTGACGACTGAAAAAAAGAGTTTTCAGAGGTCTCGTTGTAATATACGACGTCTCCAAAATGTTTTTTTTGAGACATCTCAAGTGCAAAGACGAGACAGGGCGGCAGCGACGCAAGTGCAAAGACGAGACAAGGCCACCGGGGTATGGGGTACCAGGGGGAAAGGGAACAGGAGGCGCAGGGGGGGCAGATTGGGGAGAAAGAGAAACAAGGAATGAAGGGGATCATGCCAGAAGGAGAAGCATGCGCAAGGAGAGGCGATGTGAGGGACGAGGGGCGTAAGCGCAGGGGGAGCAGGGGGTGCAGGGGGAGCAGGGGGTGCAGGGGGTGCAGGGGGAGCAGGGGGTGCAGGGGGTGCAGGGGGTGCAGGGGGAGCAGGGGGTGCAGGGGGAGCAGGGGGTGCAGAAGGTGCAAGGGGGTGCAGGGGGTGCAGGGGGAGCAGGGGGTGCAGGGGGTGCAGGGGGTGCAGGGGGTGCAGGGGGTGCAGGGGGAGCAGGGGGTGCAGGGGGTGCAGGGGGTGCAGGGGGTGCAGGGGGAGCAGGGGGTGCAGGGGGTGCAGGGGGAGCAGGGGGTGCAGGGGGTGCAGGGGGTGCAGGGGGTGCAGGGGGTGCAGGGGGTGCAGGGGTTGCAGGGGGTGCAGTGCAGGGGGTGCAGGGAGGGCATGGGTGGCTACAGACAGTGATGAGGGCGTCAAGGCGGATGGAGGCCTCGAGGGCGTCGTCCAGCCACAGCATGGCCACTATGGGCGCTGGATCCGCCAGCCCTGTGGTCTCCAGTAGCACATGGTCGAACCTGCATGTCACCATGCATGCATGCATGCACACCCACATGCGTGCATGCACGCACCCAAACCCACCCCCCCCCCCCCACTCCCCTCCCCCCTTCCTCACATTTCCCGCAAACACACATTTCTGCACCCACATAATCCAAACACCACCTCACGCCGACCCCTTCCTCCACACATGCAACCTAACCAAAGCCCTCATTGATCCCACAAACCCACCCTCCCCCCCCAAACAGATGCAGAGATACAGACACGTTCAGACACATACGCTTGGGCCCAACTTGGCAAAGGCAGAAAGCAGAGCAGAAGGCCGGATGAGCAACAGGACACGTGGCGATTTGGCACTCGGGGAAAAACAGGTTGCACAAGATAAGTTGACACCCCCCACAAGCTAACCTCCAAGCAGCCATGCTACGATAAAAAAAAAGGAAGGCGAGAGAAGAGCATGGCCCAAACTGGTGCACGGCATCTAAAGGCCTGGAAAGTGACGCATGGCATCTAGAGGTTTGAAAACAAAAGAAGCAAAAAAATATGAAAAAATGAAAGAAACGAGAGGGCTTTTGGGGCGCATTTAAGGGAATCACATGCTGAGGCGAGAGAGAAACGGGGGATAAAGCCACGCAAGTGAAAGCAACTGAGGGAAAATTCGAGAGTTAAGTAGGAAGCCAGTGAGGGTAGTGAGTGTGGGCCGTGAAAACAAGGGGGAGGAAAGGGACACCCATAGGCAAAGCAAAGGGGGGCGTCAAAGAGGAAGACAAGGAAGCGGCAAGGGGGACAGAAATGAGGGAGGAGGTGGCATGATGTGGACCACAGGCAGAGAGGGCTGGGTGCGATTCACTGACGGGAAAAAGGCACAGAGGGTGGGCAACACAGAGGGTACTGGCAATGAGGTCAGTGGCAGGCAGGTGGGTTGGGTGGGGGGAGTTCAGCTTCGCCTTTAATCAGTCACTGGCAAGCACATGCCATGCCGTGGATAAGCACATGTACACATGCATGTGCATGTGCATCCGCATGGTGGCTCTGTGCCTCGTGGGCATATACATGGCATGGCCATGACTGGCAGTCATGCGCCATGCCCCCATGCCTCTTGTTCATCATCATCACTTCCCCATGTTGTGCCATGCCATGCCATGCCATGCCATGCCATGCCATGCCAATGCACGCTCCTCCAAGTCCTTATTGGAAATCAGCTCCGAGTGCACTCGAATTGGTTAACAGTGGGGCATCAGTAGCAGCAAGACCACATCCAGACCAGCACCGCTGCACACCTTCCATCACCCATCCCCACCCTCTGCACACCACTACACCCACACCAACAGCACAGTCCCTATGCACATCCCTGGCGCCTTCATCAGACTACCATGCCTCACTACCAGGCCTCACTGCTGTGCCCAGCCACGTGTGCATGCCCATGCCTCACATCTCATTTCCCCCACAGTGTGACCCCCCCCCCACATGGTGTGGTGGCATGGCATAACGCCATGTGGTGACGCGCATTGCTGCTGCTACCGCTGGCACAGCCCCATGGGGGCGCGCCCTGAACCACGCCTCTTCATCCACTCGCCTGTGACCCTGTGCACGTACCAGCACACATGGCATGCCATGGCATGGCGTGCAGGTGTCACGGCTGGTGTCAGACTTAAACTAATGAGATGTGAGAACCATGTGCCGGGGGGGCGTGGAGGAGAGGGAGGCATGCGGCGCACCGAGAGCCAGGTAGGCAGGCGGACAGGCAGAAAGACAGGCATGCAGGTTGGCGGGAGGGATGTGAGGCAGTGGCATGTAGGTGTGAGGGGCGGCGCAAGAGACAGGGTGCCAGGCAAGAGAGGCGGGCGGCGCTGGTGGGCTGGCTCATGCTGATTCATCATGTGCCATGCGTGCTGCAGTGCGCTGCCGCAAGCGGGGTGACCAGGGGAACACATGTGCTGCGTGCACCAGGGTCCATCGAACAGGGGTGCATCGGACCGGGGTGCATCGGACCAAGGATAGAAGAAAAACGAATAGCTACGAAGACAGACCAGAATTGTACTGTGACAAACAGCATCACCTGCAGCAGCAGCAAGCACGAGAAAGCACTCCCTTGTGCTCCCAAGGCAACCCTCCCATTGCCCACCCGACTGTCCCATCCTTGCTGGAAGGCAGCAGACCAGCACACAGACCATCCCACCCACCCAAACCCCGGGCACCACGCACCCGGATACCACCCAACTGCCTCGTCGCGCCAGCAGTTGCTCGACCGCAAAGGCCATCCCACCCGGATACCACCCACCCGGGTACCACACCTGTCTCGTCTGTCGAGCAGCTGTTCGAGTGCGAGCACAAAGGAGTGCTTGACGCTGCAGCAGATGCAGCCATTGCCCACCTCCACCCACTCCTCCACCACCGGCACCACCGCCGCCGCACTCAACTCCTCCGACTCCTCCAACTCCCCCTCGCCCGCCGCACCGCCACCACCACCAGCAGCAGCAGCAACACGAGCATCGGCAGCATTGGGGGAACGCCTTGCCTTCCCCTGACGTCCCCCCCTTGCGGTTGTGGTGTGGACGAGCGCCTTCTCAATGCCGAGGCTGTCGCCGAAGTCGTTGAGGATGACGGCGATGCGCAGCCCGTGCTGCTGCGTCAGAATGTGGTTCACCAGCTGTCCGCACAGCGGTTCCGTCCGGGAGGGTTGGGCGGGGTTTGGGTGCGGTTAGGGCAGGATATGGGTGGAATATGGGTGGAATATGGGTGGAATATGGGTGGAATATGGGTGGAATATGGGTGGAATATGGGTGGAATATGGGTGGAATGTGCGTGGGATATGGGGGGATATGGGGGGATATGGGGGGAATATGGGTCGTTTGTGGAAGATAGGGGGTGTGGCGGGGGTACGGCAAGCGGGACGAGAAAAGGTTGGAGAAATATCCTTTAAGGGTTTCCGAAAGTGAAAAACACGGATATCTCACACGATAACAAGGGACCCGGGGAGGGGGGGGGGGAGGGGGAGAGGGGGGGGAGAACGGAGAAAGAAAAACCAACAGTCTTTCCGAGCTCGAGACGGCAAGGCAGACTCACGGTGGTCTTGCCGGCTCCTAGGAACCCCGTGATGATCGTGATGGGCACAGCCCCGCGCCCGCTGCTCGTTGCGGGCGGGCCATCTCTCCCGCTGCCCGCCTGCCCTGCCTCCCCTTCCCCCTCTCGTTGCCTTGCGCCGTCCAATTCCGCACGGCCGCCTTCCCCATCCTTCTCCCCCTCCTTTTTCCCCCCCTCCCCCGCCGCTTCCGCCGCCTCCGTCCCCCAGCCGTGGAGCGGCACGGCGTCGGGGATCTCGTCGTCCTCCTCTTCCCCGCGCTCGCCGCCACCCGCGCAACCGCCATCCTCCGCGCCTCTCCCCGCCGCATCTCTCTTCACCGCCGCCTCTCCCCCGACCGCCTCTCCCCCCACCCCCTCTCCCCCCACCGCTTCTCCCCCCACCGCCTCTCCCCCCACCGCTCTACCAGCCTCGCCATCTTGCCCCCCCTCTAGCGTCGAGAACGCCGCGGCGTCTGCATCTTTCGCAGCCATGCCCGGCTGTCAAACCACCGCATGCACTCGCACTCCCAGAGCTCGGAGCGGTGCTCAGAGGTGACAAGCGGTGAGGCTGAGCGGTGCGTGGCAGTGTGCGGTGCGGAACGAGTGAGTCCACGCAGATTAGAGCACGTGGGCTTGCCAAAGCACGAACGGGCGCCAGTAAGTCTTGGACTTCGTCGAGTCGTGCGTTAGTCGAGGCAGACGAGCGTGCCTGGCACCATGAACGACAGCATGTACGGTAGCATATATAATTGGTCGTCCTGATGGATTCAATCGGCGCGCTGTGACACCTGCTGCACTGAGGCCAGAGAGCGTGCTGAGGAGAATTCTGTGGGAGAAGCGCTGGCCACAGGTTAGGGTTTGACGTATGGCCAGCACTCATTTGGGTTCGCGTTTTAAAACATGCGCTAGCGCGAAAGATATTGTTGAACGATAATAAAGCTATATGCGGTTTGAGAATTCAAGAAAGCATACCAATGTACAAAAGCTTGATGATGTTGATATCCTAATACGGAAAGTGGAGACAGCGGTATTTTACTCTGAAAATACAGTCTGTGTAAATTCAGCTCCCCCCTCCATGTTCATTTTGGGCTATCATTGCCCTTAAAGCCCGTAGCTATAATCGCTGTTGGAAATACCTCAAGGACTTAAAGCCCGCAGCTAAAATAACAGACCTGGAAACTGTTAAAATTATATAAGTTATAATTTAATATAGGCTTGGTAGGTTGTTACTGAACCTTTCTGTAGAGGGTACAATCTCCTCCTTGTAATGCTCTCTCTTCCTAATCCCAACTCTATTTTCTCGTCAACTTCTCTCCCCTCTCCTAGATCTACTTTCCTCACACCATTCCATGGCGTCCTTCCTTGCTTCCTAGCTAAGCTAGGTTCCTAAGTTTAGTTAGTGTCCTAAGCTTCTTTGATAGAAACCACTTGAATTTGGTGCTTTGAAATCCGTCTAAGTATAGAATGGAAGGCAAATTTGAGTTCAAGCCTGAACAAGAAATGTGCATCGAAACAAATTCTGGTCGAGCTTGCTGATTGGAGGAATGGCGAAAGAACTCGTTTTGCTTTTTGTTGCGACAAGATCATTTGGATGCGAATTGCGCAAAAGCACTGTGTGCATCGCACGGAGTTTCTACGACGGGTTTGGGCGAGCAGCTTGGGACGAGGAAATACAGGCGCTTAATGACTCGGGAATTCAAGTGATTTCCAGATCTGCGATTCCGAAATCAGCTACTGTTCGCCAAAAAAAACACTGTTCTTCTCGCATTTTCACTGTTCACGGAACCCCGAATTCGGTCGCACGACGCCTATTGAACTGTTCACCGAATGGTTTCATGCCAAAACTGTCGCCAAACCGCCACGGTCAGATTCCGCTTTGCAAAACGAAATGTTTTTATTCTGTTTCTTTTACTCTAAAGATCATGTCATGTGCCAAGTTCAAGAGCAAATTAAACAACCCTCTTGATTGCTATTATAGCCACGGGCTTTAAGCGTTTCTGAAGTGTGACACTACACTCGAGTAAAGCCGTATCGGGTACGCGAGTCAACGGAGGTTACACGAGGAGGTTGGACGAAAGAACACGAAAGGACGAAAGACTCGAAGGGTCGCAACCTCCGGTTGCGACTGACCGTTACAACTGCAAGGGTGGTAACCGAACCGATCATCGAGTCGCTGTGCGACTCGATACCCGTTCTTTCAACTGTATTCCACAATTGCTCTACTTTCTTATTTTCTATATATTGCTGTATGCTTGTTTCTTTTAATCAATCACTTGCTCTCACATACTAGTGCAAGGGTTCAACTACTCAACTTCCGCTGCACTACTCAAGCATCCTTTCACAACTGGGACTTAGTCTCTGAAAGATCCTAAGGGCTTTTTCTCAGCCCAACATGGTATGAGAGCTGGTCAGAGACCAAACACCCAGCAACAACGCTCTATCTACAGTTAACACATCAACAGCTTCATCGATCATAAGTCATGGACAACAAGGGCAAGAAGATCTCTACGGGCTCACCCAGCACCCAAGACACTCAATCCGGTAACTCTGGACTACACACTTCAGGACTGCAAACCGAGACCGGCGCTGCTCAAGAAGCAACAGGAAGGGCACCAGAAATGGTGACCCCATCACCCCCTTCAAGCGTGGACCTGAACCTTATGGAGCTTCGAGTTCGAGCTGCTGATGGAGGTCGCGCATCTCTTGGGATACTTCAACGGGTCCCAGCCATTTCCAAGCAATGGCACTGCAAAGGAGCAGGAAATCTTCACTTATCAGTCGCTGCTGGCGTACACAGTTCTCCTGCAGAACCTGTCACCACAAGAACAACAAAGCATCAGAACGTATCGGAGCTACGGAAACTCCGCGGAGCTCGCATGGCATCACCTCAAGTGTCTCTACCAAGCAAATGACAGCGTGACACAAAGCAGACTCATGCAGCAGTTGTCACAGGATCGAATGACTCGAGGAAAAATTGCACTATCCATCAGTACAAGGCGCTTTTATACTTCCAAAGCACATCAGGTAACCAGGTTTATCTTATCCTAAGGGAATAGACCCTTCTAGAAGATAGAATCACCCTGCGTATAGCCACGCGAGGCTATTGGCTTTAAGGGATTACAGCAGGATTACGCGAGATATAGTGCCCAGTACATCCCAAGCCTGGTCGGTGATATAATTATAATAGCAACATAAACCAAAGGCTAATGGAAAAGGAAGAATGGGAAACCAAATGAGATGCGATAAAAAGAGAAATGAAATAGGAAGGAAATAAGAAAAGGCCAAGTGGTGTAACGGGGTTGTACTCTCACAGCAGTTGACAACAATACAAATGAAAACCGGGGAAAAGGCGATGCAGTATATGAGTCGCTGCCAGACACTCCGCGACCGCCTGCTCCGGTGCAGAGGCACAATCACTGAAGAAAGCTTCGTGACACGTGTCCTCGCCGGGCTCGGGCTAGAATGGAGAACCATCCGCTCGCTTCTTCGCGCCCACGGACGAATTTCGGAGATGCACCTCTACGCCGAGCCATATGCTGAACAACAGGAGATGGATCTGTTTGAAGAAAGACAACTAAGAAACAAGCAGCATCCGTTAGTCTTCTATGCTCAACGAAGAAACGACAACTACAATCGACGTGACAGGCAGAATCGACACGACACCAAAGGACTCACCATGGTGCCGCCGTTCTGCCACAACTGTCAGACATCCAAACACTCCAAAGTTAACTGCACACGCCCCTGAGTTTATCGTCCAATAGACCCACAAGTCGCTTCTACTCAAGAAAGTCCGCCAAGGCGTTCCTCCACATCTGCACAGGGCACACCGAACATCATCAATTGTATGGTACGCATCGACAACTGCGCACCCGGATCACCACCCACTTACGCTCCAGACGAAGAAGAACTGCCGCCGCCGCGCTCACAAGGCCTTCATGTCAACCTGACGTACGCTGCAATCGCCAACGCCGAACCCACCGGGCGAAACACCCGGTTCTTGGACAGCTGTTGCGGCCAACACATGTGTTCTTCCGGACGCTTCGTGCAACGAGAGCGACGCCTCAACCGCGATGTCATCATCGCCGTTGCCAATAACGAGAACCAGAAAACAAACAGAGATGGCATCATGTCGTTTGCCGCCTGGACGCACCCACCAGATCTTGACCCCGACTTTGCCCCAGATGGATTCTGGTACTCTAACACCATACCTGCAGCAGCGAGAACACGAGCGTTAGCAGTCATCCGACAAGAAAGACAAGTATCAGCAAGCGTCCTTTCCCCGACATCACCTGCAGTAGCAGCAGCAGGACCCAGCCGTGTACCATCACCAGCAATCCGAGGACCGGCAACCGAAGCAGATCAACTTATGCCCATCACCCGAGAAGTCTGCCGAAGTCCCGCCACGGTCGTCGCATTCTTCTCCAACGCCGACATGTACCAGCGCTCACCCGGCCATCGCGCTCCCGACGACATCTGGCATTAACGTCTAGGGCATCCTGCAAACAGCACAGTGCTACAAACCATACAAGCCGAAGTGTTCGAAAGAAACGCCCTTCTCACAACGAGCAGCCAAGAACTTCGACGACCCCGCGCACGATGCTTCACGTGCCCCGAAGCCGATCTTCCCCACCAACCTTTTACGTCGCACCACAATCCAAGCGCACCTGCATACGAACTGATGGAGAAAGTCTACAGCGACATCTTAAATATGCCTCGAGACGACAGTGAAGCGGAATACAACTACGTCATAACGTTCATCGACGCAGCAATACGATACGTCTGGCACTACAACCTCAAGACACGAGATCAAGCCTTCACGGCATGGCTGCCCATCGCTGAACGCGAATCAGGCTCGCAACTCAAGAGCTTCCAACCAGACGGAGCACTGGAGTACCAGTCACAACGATTCAGGAACTACTTGGCAGAAAGAGGCATCAGACGGCTGGTGTCCCTGCCCTACGCTCACCAACAGCAGGGGGTCGTAGAGAGGATGAACCGGAACTTGCAGACGATGATGCGAAAACTGCTCCTGGGGATGAGACTGCTCGACACACTGTGGCCAGACGCGATGACGCATGCAGTCCACCTGCACAACTTGCTGTCCTCGTCATCACTTCCCAACAACGCATCACCGCACCTGCTGTGGACAGGAAAAAGGGGCAGCACAAAATTACTTCGAGTCTTCGGCTGCATGGTACAGTACAGACCCCACACAACTCGAGCAGGACGATTCTCTCAACGAGCACGGTGAGGACTACACCTCGGATCGCAAAACATTTCCAACCATGGAAACTCCTCGACATAAAAGACCAAAATACCGTGGCCTTACGTGATGTGATTTTCTACGAGCGACTGACGCTTCAGCATTACCTGGACAATGTCGCCAACACAGAGGACCCCACCGACGGCTTCGAGGGCCTTTGGTCCTTCGCCGACCGTGCTGCCGAAGCTGACGCAGTAGAAGAAGACATACGTGAAGCCTCGAAAACTGCCGGACCACTCCCTTACTGCTCCGTGCCTGTTCCATTCGCCGACGAAAATCCTCTCGATAGTTACAACCTTGATACCTAAACGACTCTGTCGCTGGCTCTGGGGGGTGAATACCAGGCGAAATGGAAGGAAGCAAAGGAAAAAGAACTGAAGGCCCTGCAAGACCGAAACACGTGGAAGCTGGTACCTGCAACAAAAACCAACGGGAAAAACGTGCTCTCGGGAAAGTGGGTGTACCGCATCAAGATGCGGACGGCTCCATCAAACGATTCAAGGCTCGCTGGGTCGTACGAGGATTCGATCAGCGATACGGAACCGACTACACGGAGACAT